TAAGTCCAAAATAAGGTGACAATAAAAAACAAACTTAAAAAGATATGAAATGAGGGTTATGGAAAAACAACCAAAACATAAACATGAACTTCATTCAACGGATAAAATGTGATCAATTTTTGGGATTCTCTATTTTAATCGGCTTGATGAACTTCGTTTTAGAGGTAGAAAGAAGCTCAGGTGCTTCCTTATTGTCAACTTTTCGTTTGGAAGAGGGAGTACAAACAATGTCATCACTCAGACCTTCAAGATACATGGGATCCCACAAATAAAGGCGATATCATAAATAGGTAAATACTTTTATGATTTGTAATAATCATAAGACATTGATAATTATTTACCTCGCTTGTTTGGGTTGGAAGGAAAGAGTTTCCGATATCTCACTTGACATTAGCATACGTAGATCTTTCCAGACCTTTCCAACTTTATAGGAACCACCAGAAGCCGAGTCTTTCTGAATGTAGACTCCAAACATAAAAGTCTGTCCAATCAACTTTAGGATTGAATCGGGAAAAGGATAATCGTCTTCAAGCTGTAACATTAGATCAATGATATTGTATTATTCATCATGCAATATGTAATAAAAATGCTAAAGTTGACCATTAAATGGATTTTGAATCTGTTGAAAAACAAATAATAAACATAAATTAGCTTAGATTTTATACCCTAATAAAAATGAGTATTAGATTATGTTTTAATACCGTGGACTAACAGATGTTACTTTCGATTTGCAAGTCTCACACCACCAAACGTTTGTAACAATTTTTTTGCCATTCAATTTCCTAAGGGTTTTTGAAGGTGGATAAATCTTCTTGTTGTTACAACTTAAACATCCAAGATAATATCATCCTCAATCTGTATCAATCTAGTAGATTGTGGCAACAACCCTACATATTTTTTCCTACAAAAAAAGATAAATCCATGTCCAAAAGAATAAAAGAGATGCAACAAATAAGATGTTTTCGAAAATGCAATACCTCAGATGTTTCAAGTAAATGCCTAAGATTCTTTTGAGGATAATGCATCCATTTATCTCGCTTCATTTGCAACTCAAGCTTGTTCTCGTTTGATTCAGTTTCTACTAACGCTTGAGAATCACCATTACCTCTTACATTATAACAAAATTTCATAATTGAATATATTATATCAAAAAATAAAAACTGATTTATTGTTTGAGATAAATACCGTTGTTTAAATTCATCTGCCTCTGGTATTTCGGGATTGACAAACATTTGACTTACATCAAAAGCATTTGAGATTTGGACCTCACCTATAACAAAAATAAATAATAAACAATTGAGTAGGTAGAATTTCCAACAGAGTAATGCAAATTTAGTACAAAATCGAGACATAAGTTTTTGTTATCAAAGAATACCTCAATATTGCCCAATCTTAGCAAATCGTAGAAGACATATCACCATGTCTTCAGTTTCTTGGCTAGCTGTATGAATATTCTCAGCAAATTTACCCCAAAGGCAGCAAGCTAATCTCTAACCACTAATAGAAGAACATATGGAGTTTTGAATCAATATGTATATAAGCATATATCAAAATATTAATATATGGAACTTACGAAATGTCCATGAGACTAAACTCCAACTTATTCCTTTGTTTCCCACCACTACACCCTATGTTTTCCAAATCACCCATGTCTTGAACTTGTCCATTAACATCTACATAAAAATATACTGGTGTTAGATAGAGAAACAATGGAGATAATTTGAAAAAATGGACGAAAACAGACCAATAAGGAAGTTTGTATCTGTGGTACTTTCTATGGTTTTGATATCAAGCAGATCAAGAAACATGTTATCATCACGATGTGTAGAATCGCTGATTTTGGTGGTGCCATTAAAAGTTATGCGATACTTATGCTGAGTTGATATGAATGCTCCACCAGTGGCAGACACACTGAAACGATCAATGTTCCTCCATACTCCTACACGAATATGTTTTGCCAATTCAGGAATGTATGTCTTATTACACGAGGCATGGATCTTAGTTCCCTATATAAAAATAAATAAAAGGTTATAATTTAGTTTAAACTTTTACGAAATGAAATGAATATGTATATCGATAAATATATGAAAAACAATAAACTTACATTTGCATCACAAAGGATCAGTTCCATGGTCTCGCCTACGTCTTTCATGAAATGTCTCCATGTATGAAGGATTTTGACTTGGATACGACATGCATTTTTCCTCGGTTTGATATCGCTTAAGAAAGACAACTGAAAATTATTCGCCATTTTTGTTTTAGGTTTTTGAAGGAATAATGAATATAGTGGTTAAGAGAGGTTATATTTATAATAGCTACGGACGATAACCATTTTAGGTTACGAAAATTTAGGAGAGAATATTTAGGGAATTTTGGAAAATATCTCATTCAAGGAATAATGAATATTTATGGAATATATTTTGAATTAGATAGGAAGTGTAACAGTTAATACTAATTCAATTACGGTAAAATACAGAAATATATGGAATCCAACCAAAAATAACTAACCACGATATTATTACTGTTTAATCTATAAACTTGTAGATGAATCAATTTATTCATTTTAGTATTTGCAATATTTTCTTACGAAAACGTATTTCGTTATTAAATGTCAGTTATATAATGATGATATATCGACATAATTGATATCACTATATCTCGTGCAGAAAACTATGGTTTATAAATAAATATGGGTAAATTTAGTAACACATGACTTGGATATTCAATATGAAGAAAAAAAAGATAATGAAAGACACGAGAATAGATTCTCCATTGTCAAATGTAATATATAGTGTAGTAACCAAATGTATCAAATGATTAACATTGGATGTTAGTTCTGACAACTATAAGAAAATCTGAAGTTTTAATAATATAGCATCATATCATTGTTTTCGTATATGATGCATATACGAAAATGATTAGTTACAAATCAAATAACAAATTCATTGATCTAATGTTACAAATAATATAATATCGAATGATACAAATAATATTATATCATACAAAATCATATATGGTATTTGCATATTTTCAAAAGGACAATGTTTTATATCGAGTTGTAACAAATCATATCACATATTTAATTTCTCTGACCATTCTATACTACTAAAATGGGTTTGATATATATTTGAATTATGTAATATATAGTGTAGTTACCAAATGTTACAAATCATATGATATCAAATGTTACAAATCATATCATATCATACAAATCATATCACATATTTATGCATATACAAAAGGACAATGACTGCTACATCGAATGTTAAAAATCATATCACATATTTAATTACTGTAACCATATTCCCTAGTATAATCCGGGTAATATAAATGTATGAAATATAAAATGAAATATGATTAGAGTAATTAATGGGAAGAGAGAGAGAATAATTTGGGTATATGCAATATGTGAAATGATTTGTAAGAAATCGATATATATATATATAGATGTAAGCCCGAAAATAAATTACCAAAATGCCATTAAGGAGGGTGTACACAACTTCCATCAGTCGATTTTTCAAGGATGCCTTTACTTTTAATAGTATAGATTTTTCCCAGTTCTACATAAATTTGCACATTAACGTGAACACCTATATAACTAAATATCACTACAGTTGAGGATTATAATTCTCTTGGAAGTTGGAATTTTTTTATTAATGTTTCTATTCACCATCGACCAAATTGTAATGAAATCATTTGTGTTAATAATTTATTTGTCTTTCATTATTATCTATATTTGATTTGATTTTTATGTCTTTTAAAATTGTAATATGAAATCATTGGTTTGACATCATAATTTTCTAAATAATATATAACATGAAACCAAAAAATTAATAATAATAGTTTTTGTTATCATTAAAAGATCTAAAAACTTCAAGCATTTTAACCGAATAAACAGAATAAATATTGATTAAGAATAGTACTTATATTTTAATAGATTAAAAACCCAAAAAAAACTATCCTAAAACCAAACATATATCCAGATTAAACTGACATAATATCTTTTTATCTTAAAAGATAATGAAATTAATAATCCTTCCGCGCAATGCGCGGGTTATTACCTAGTATATATATAATATGTATATTTATATTTTACATTATTACCTTTTGTGGTTTTTTAAATGAAATAAAAAAAATAAAACAATTGTTATTAATGAAAATTTGGTATAATTGTTAATGAAAATACAAATATTAATAATGAAAATTATAATTAATTTATTAAATGTATTAATGTAACTAATCATCAAGATAGTTAACATGAGTACGGCACGTAGAAAAGTCACTTCTCTAATAAACTATAGAGATACGATATTTTCCTTTTATAAAACCCATCATATATATATATATATATATAGCTAAATAATAAACTTCAAACTACTATATTCCATCATACAATCACAACAGTACTACTTTATTTGTTTTTCTCTAAGTCAATATGGAAAATCAAGATTAAAATCATACGACATAGAAGCAATATTTAGGTTCTGATGGTTAACTATTGAAATGATTTTATTGATACAGGTATGGGTGATTCATATGATTAAACAAGGCAATTTGCGGTAGCTAGGGATCACACAAGTATTAAAAGGGAAATATGATGCCTTGGGAAGCTGTCTACATGTGTAAAAGTATTTAACCAATCAAATTATTTCATTCTTCTACGTCAATGAAGCATTTCACGTCATGTTTATAAAAGAAGCCCAGTATCGTCGACTCCTCAAGCAGATGTTTGTCTTCTTTGATATCCCCTTTTCCATTTCGTCAAAAAACTTATTTTACTAAAACGATTGGTGAACCTTACCTTTTCGTCTTCTTCGATTTTGATTTCGTTTTATCACTCTGATCTACTATCAATCAATACCCCCCTCCACTTCTTTTCTCCCTTCAATCTCATTAATGGATTCTTTACGTTTTCCTCTTACTCAGCTTCTTTATAAAGCTCTGCTTCCGATTCTTAGCCCAAACAAAATTGCGTTTTTGCTCCTCATTAATATAAAGTGATGAGTTCATCTGAAAAATTGACGTTATCTGGTGATTCCAACTCGAAGAAAGCAAAAGACGAAGCGTCGATAAAACTCATCGGGAAAAGGGGTGTGTCTTTCGGTCTCTCCATCGGCGTTAAGGGGAAAGATGTTGCCTCCTCCGGCATCAGAGGAAAAGCCATTGTCTCCGACAACGTTGAGGAAGTGATGTCCTTCAGAAACGTCACATTCGGATTCCATGAAGGCGAGGTGAGGTTTCGTTTGATCCACTTTTGGGAGGCTCAGAATGTTCAGTCGAAGGTGCTTCTCAGTCTTGAAATGCTCCTCATCGACTCAGAGGTATAAACCTAGATCTTTACTAAATTTTGTCGTTTTAAGATAAAAAAATTTATATCTCGCTTTCCATGATCATCAGCTTCTCATTTTCTAAGTTAGTTAATATGTTTCGATTGAGGAAGTTATTTTTATATATTAGTTATTTTTGGTTTCCGAAAGAGTGTTGATTCTCTCTTACTCGATAGGTCCATCGTTTATGACTGCGGTGATCTTAGCTGAATGATGTGTTTATTGTACTAGATCTTTGGTCCGTAGCTATGGTTCGCTTTACTTGATGTTAGCCATCGTTGTCATTTCTTTCGTTTTGGATGTGATTTAACAAGATGGGTACAACATGACGGATCTCAGAAGAAGCAAAAATATTATTAGATACACTTACTTTAGCAATGAAAGAAATGGATTAGATTAGCTTTTCAATTGTCGTTAGCACCATCATGAGACTTTTGTAAATCTTAGTTGCTGGTTAATATCTTAACTATTTATGTTCCTATGCTAATCTTTTTTTCTAGCTTATTTAATATAACTCTTCAACGTTATTAACAGGGAACTGTTATCCAGGGGTTCATCCCATAAGGACAGAATCAGGCTTATTTGCTACGCTTAAAGCTGGTGTTATTTACAAACTCAATAATTATTTTGGGTCAAAGAACAAGAATTTGTACCAGGTTGCTGAATCAAGTGTGACTATTACCTTCTCATGAAACTCTGTTCTATCTGTTCTAGAGGACAGTTAGGTTCTTTCCCTGAGGACCGGTTCCGGTTCCATGGGTACGGAGAATTTGAAGCTGCCTGCGACTTGAAAGGAGATCTATATGGTAAGTTCTCACCATCGTTGTACCCTACCACTGTTTGTGTTGGATGATGGTTTACTCTAAATTATATACGATGTTTTTATTCGATTTAGTATAGGAAGAATTGTTTGCTTATCATCATGTTTGGATCCAGACTTAGATATTAAGGTTTCACCGTTGGGTTTATAAGTTATAAAGTACTGAGTTTGATTGTTTTGTCTTGCAGATTATGTTGGCCACATCAAACTTGTTACTGGAAAGGTTCTCAATGATAGTCTCCCGCTTGATGAAGCAGAGATAGCTTCAACCCGTCGTGTTCTGCTTCATGTTCAGACACATGAGTAAGCTATTCTCTACCTTCTTCCATTTTCATATATGGTTTCTATTACCAGTCGTTTTTTGTTGTTACAGCAGTCCGGTAATGAAGCTGTACTTATGGGACAAAGCTGCCTTTGTCTTCAGTACAAAGTTCAAAGCATCTGGAAGCAATGCAAGTGTTATTTTGGTCACTGCCTTGAACCCAAAACGGGTTGGAGGTTCGTATTAGGAAACTTAGTATAATTTTATACATATTCTCTTGATTCCATTTTAATAGAATTTTGCAAAATATTATGACATTGGTTCCGTAATAGGAGCCTTATCACTATCTACTAGGACGCCTTCTCAGGTCTTCATGGACAGTGATGTTGAAGAAACCCGTAACTATCTCAGTTGGTAAGGCTTAAGATTTCCTGAATTTAAATATAATTTGAAGCACTCTATTTATCAAATGTTTCGTTTCCCATTTTTTCAAGTTTAACTCAAACTTAGATGTTGCCAACAGAGTTAATGCAGAGGTGGTCACTAAGGCTGAGACGGTTACCCTAGAGGAACTTGTGGCCTATACAAAACTGGGAGATGCTAAGGTATTACAGTTCCATTATCTGATACAATCAGTCATATAGTCTAAAGTTTCTCAGTGAATTTCAACCATTTTGCAGGTTGCTTGGTTTGAGTGCACAACAACTATTGATAATGTTGTGCACGGTTCTAAGTGGTATTATATAGGCTGTGGTGTTTGCCATACAAAGGAAATCAAAGGGCCTACAACGCTAATGTCTAAAAAATGTGGGAAGAGTGAAATTTTTGGAGTGGCACAGTGAGTGGTTATATTTAATTATATGCAAAGTTTGACAGCAATGCTTATTAATGTCTTGCTCTCGCAGGCACCTGTCGAAGATTTCTGTGTATGACAACAATGACCAAGCCGTCTTTGTTCTCCTTGGTGATGCTGGTCAGGAGTTGACCGGAAAGAAAGCATCTGAGTTGGTTGAGCACTATACGAGGTAATTTGTAAGCTCTTTTTCTATGCAATTCTTCCAAGACAATTGGAAATGAATTCTGAGAATTGTTAAATGTCTCTTAGGCCAATGAAAGTGTAGGCGATGATCACATTGTTCCGGTACCTCAAGCTCTGATTGATACCATTGGGCAGACAAGAGTTCATTGTGAAGGTATCAAACACAATTTCACCGGCAAGATCCAGACTCTCACTATCACAATGGTGCTCCCTCTTGAAGACCCAGAAGCTGAAGGCAACTTAGGAGAAAACGTAAAGGAGGAACCTGTCGATGATAAAGAGGAACCTGCAGATGATTCGTTGAAGAGGAGTTCTGATGGGATTGCAACAGGAGAGACCAAGCGTGCCAAATGTGGCTAACATTTTTATTACTGTTTTTGTTTATTAAAGACTCTGCTTTGTTTCCTTTCTTTTTTTCGGATTTTGTCTTTGCAACTTTCAAACAACTTTGGTTAAAATCTTTTTTAGTTCTACTTACATCTACTTAATTCTTATTTCATGGTGGTACGATTGTTTTTAGTGTTGTTACATCTTTTGTTTTCCTTAGTTTTGTCTGTTCTATTAGTTATTTCTTAATACAGGTTGTTCTACACAATTTTTGGGTTTTTTTAGAAGAAATAGAGACAACATGTTTTGAAAAGATCATGTTTTCTTTGTCTATGCCTGTCTATATATGTAATCTCGAATTTTAGCTACAGAAATTGCCCATATGACTAACAAATATATAGGGGTCAGGAGTGAGCCACTATTTCTGCTGCTTGGGCATAGTACCAGCTCTGTGTACACCACGTTTTCTGTTTCAATTTTCGAAAATATCAACTCCCATATCTTCTTATGATAGTTGATTACTGATTTTATACGGACTCATTAATAACTCCCATAATTAAGATAATTTTATATCAAAAAAGGAATGTAGTATAATTCCTATGCTATCAAAGGCAAAAATTAAACCATCCATCATCAAAACTCTACTCTCCCTTGCATCTGTTGAAGGCACATCCTCCCCCTCCTTACAATCCTATTCTTCACAAACTGAGTAAGTTTAATACATGACTTTCTTAACACTCAACATTTTGAAACCTAATACATTTAACAAACAGGAGCAGATTGGCAGCAAGGATCATCGTTTCGCCTGAATGGATCCACCCCCTCCTGACCAACCCATACAAAATGCAGGTGAATGCTTATTATTCTGCATCTATCTGTATGAAAACTAGAATATATATTTGTGAGCCTTCAATTTTAATTTTGTTGGGGGTTGGTTTAAGATATGTTTAGGTTAAGGTATTGAATATACAATTAAAATTAAACCACAAACGATTTGTGTTAGTGATTCAATTCATCCCTATCCTTGGATGCTTTAGATACACTACTAATGACATCTTCAACTGTAATGAAGAAAACATCAAACATATCTAACTACACACATGAAATATTGTGTTATTGTGTATAAGTTTACATATTGAAACATGTGTGTAAGAGTACTCCTCCGACGGAAGCATTTATTGCTTCTGCCAGATATAAGATCGATTTCTCTCTTTTTCTTGGATCTATGTTTGATCACTGTTTGTGTTTTCTGTTTTTACTATTTTGTTAGATTGTATGATTTAAAGAGAAGTTTTAAACCGCATCTTTTTTTAAAAAAATTCAACTCACGGAGACTTCCCAGTATTTACAATTATTAGATTATTTAATTATTTTATAAGGCTTTTTATCATTGTTTGAAGCTAAAATGATATGGAAGTAAAATGAAAACTTCAAAAATAATATAAAATACAATGAAAACAAGTTATTTAAATAGATATTAAAAACAATACAGGTTTATATGAAACTATTTTAAAAATTTCCATTATTAAACTTGAATTTGAAAAAAATAGGATACTAAACTGGACCATCGGTTTTAGCGAGTGATCGGTTGTTAAATCGAATTTGTTGGTTTTTAGCACAACTCAAAAGTTTGAAAAAGTTTCATGTTTTACAGTTACATCTCCCGCGCATCACATTCCTTAAAGAATCCACCAACTTCAAGAAGGAATTTCAGGACGCTCTATAACGGTATGTATAAGGAATATTTGAGACATCAAAATTCACCGACCAGACAATACCAAAAAGTGCACCGGCTTCATATGCTATGACCATTACGTAAGCCATATGCTACAACTTTTACATATAAATATATGTTTTCCCCATTTTGGCATATTTAGTTTTCTCTAATCAATTTGTCCACATTCAGGGACAACTATTGGAAGGTCGGCTCTCCAACAACAGTCAGCTAACTGATCCAAGATTTTTAACTCAAGGAGATTCATATGAATTCTCGGGATTTTCCGTCGTACAAAATTACCATGAACGGAAATCAACACAACTCCCGTATTACATTCAGATAGACCAAGAGACAACAATGTCAAATGTTACTGACATAGGTCCGATCTTTCCAGTACACAGTTTTTCTCCTCATAATTACAAATGTCTACTGCGCTTAGCCACTACCCCTACCTACTTACCAGGTAAGCCACTCATCAACCTTTCTATTAAAACACATAATATTTTTATTAACAACACAACCACTGTTGTGTATATGTCGTCGGGCAAATACTAATAATGCAAGACATAAAACCCCATAACCCAGGATCGGAGAAAAATATCACAATTGGTTTAATGTTGAACAACTCGAAAATGGTTAGGCTGGTTCTATGGGACAAACCAGCGGGAGAGTTTAGTATCCTAAAAAGCAAGAAGGATAGACAATTTAAAGTCGCNACAACCACTGTTGTGTATATGTCGTCGGGCAAATACTAATAATGCAAGACATAAAACCCCATAACCCAGGATCGGAGAAAAATATCACAATTGGTTTAATGTTGAACAACTCGAAAATGGTTAGGCTGGTTCTATGGGACAAACCAGCGGGAGAGTTTAGTATCCTAAAAAGCAAGAAGGATAGACAATTTAAAGTCGCCATCATCAAAATCATAATACCTAAACTTTTTCAAGGTAAACAAGTTATATCATAAAATATATAAAGCAAATAAGTATTTATTTGTTTTAACCATGCCCAAAAAAAGAATCCTTGCAGGAAAACTAGAACTCGCTTCATCACCAGCAACAAATTTCTACTTCAGCAAATCAATCGGACACATCAAGAATTACAGAGGACAGATCAAAACTCATCGACATCCATAAGCGAATGACCAGTGTAGAGAATGACCTGTGCAAAATTTTATTTTAGGCTGGATCAAGATCAACTTCACCTGCCCAATATGCAGATCAAAACTTGGTTATCAAAAAAAAAATCTACTATCTAATCTTGTGCAGTTATTGCCTTTACTTTTACTATTTTAAAATAATTTGTCTCTCATTTTCTTATCAAACCAACATTTCAATAATAATAAATTTTAATCAGAAGATATAAGCTAATAATAACCAATATATAATATGTTACAAGATCAATATTAAAATTCTAGATTTAATTTGTATGCAAATAACATTTAACATTTTACTATAAACAAAAAAATTAATACCACCTTCCCACTTTAGATTACTTAGGTCAGATAATTGTAAAAATTATAAATTAACTTAAATTAGAAAATGAAAATTTTTTCTATAAAATTGGAACTGTTGTTAATTATAAATTATGTAATACAAATATAAAATATATTAGAAATATACGTATATATACATAATATATGAGTTAAAAAGCCTATTATAAAAAAGAAAAATTTATACACTTAAAAAATACAATAACATAATTCATATAATCATAAGTTATAAATTTAAAATTACCAATCATATAAAACGAGGATTCAGATCAGCTAAAGGTGAAGAACATAGTCTACAAAGAAATATTCAAATGTCTTCCGCACCACAAAAGTATTTAAATTAAACATTGACAATTCCCTATCACTTATCTAAAATAAATTTTCTCATAATAAATTTAATCAACAGATTTACAATGTCCAAGGGAAAATACAATCACATAAAGATTGGCTTACACATAATCGTAGCTATGACAGGTATATATTTTTGGATATAAATTAAGGTGTATATATACTACTTAGCTTGAGTTCATTAACTTTATTTTTATTATTTTCAGGGTATTGCTTTCATACGATCCAGATCGTGGATATCTATCTCCTCTTCTTGAAAACACATATCTCTTTCTTACTTTATTTACGATCATTTAACCTATTCTTTTTATTATTCAAAGTTTGATACACTTAATAACCACCAAGTTTTCATAATTATAAAAAATACATTGTTATAAACCAAAAAAGTATCGAAAATATGATCCTAAACAAAAACAATTAACCACGTATTCGTGTGTAGCGAGGAGAAACACCCTAGTTATCCTAATTAGTGAAAAACATACGTGAATCATTCTATTGTAAATTCAAAAGGCAATGACTTCAACGGAAGGTTCATTCCGTGCATGGTGTGGATCACCATCTAGTGTTTTTAATATAATTGCAATCACGAAATCTTGTTTCTTTTTCCAATTAACGAATTGGAATTTTTTGCTTCATTCCAGATTTGACATTAACCAACTAAAATCTTATATATTAAAACAGAAGTAATGACTTCACTTCATGTGTGATTTTTTAAAATTTGGACAAACTCCTAGAAAATATCATATTTTACAGAAGTTCTTTATTATATATTTGAATCGCTTTATATTGTTAGAAGCCCATCATTTTATTTGAAATAAAAATGAATGTATTTAAAATATTCTAACATAATCTTTTAAAAATCTCTTTAGAATCTTTCTAAATTTTCTTTCGAAAATTAGTTAATTTGACTTTAAGTTATTATAAAATATAATTAGAAATTAGAATTGAAGTTAGTTTTGGTTTATAAACGAATATTAAAAATTAAATATTTGTAATCATATTCTCTCATAATAAAAATGAAATTGATTAATTTCAAAAAAAATACATTCTACTAATAAATTTAAAATATTTGTTTAAAATAAATATTTATTTTATTTTAATTGTTTTAAATATATATATATATATTCTAATAAAATAAAATTCATGATTTTTTTAGTTGTGATATTTTTATTTAGACCATCATTTAATTTTTTTTATTAAGTGTATATCCTTAATGCTATTAATATAAAATATTTTTAACTACTTTAATCATAATATCTTTTGATATTTTTAATTTAAATATATATATATATAAATTCTAGCAAATCTGTTGAAAAATATTATAACAAGATTTTAATTGTCAAAAATTGAACATAAATATTTTTACGAATTTCATAATTAGTCATGAAATGTTATTACACATTAATATATACAGCTATCTTATACTATAAAGAATAACTCCACTCTCTTCTCATCAACCCACATCACTTTATGATGTCACTAAATAGACAATTATGGGTGTGACATGTGTCCTTTATTCTAAACGAGGCGTTTCGTGGGGATGATCTACCAAGTATTTTGATTTTGGGCTTCGTCTAATAAGTAAGCCTTATATCACATTAAACAAACCGTCCGCGAGATAACTTACTCTTTCCATTACCCTTCCATCGAGTAATTAGGGTTCACTAGGTTTCGTTCATCGCCGCCTTGGAAGATCATTTGTTAACGCAACTAGCAATTCAGTTCCTTGCGCTATCATGGTGTCCGTTGCCTTTCCTCCCCTAGACAGCCTTCCTCGCCATAGATTGAAACCAACAATGAATTTTGAGCATGACGAAACAGACGAAGCGTTGTGAAAGAATTCAGGATAATGCTTTGTCGTTTCATTTTCTTCATTCATCGACTTTATGAAAATTCTGAACTCCATCAACACAAATCAAAGATCCTTATCTCTCAAGACGGCGTGTCTCAATCTGTAAAAAGGTTCTCCTGCATCCCTAGAACATCATTCCTTTCAGCTCATGAAAATCCTAGATAAACACAATCTTTGCAGCCGGCCGCTGTTCTTCCAATGTTGAGGTGAGTTTGCTCCGATTCTGGGAAGCTCGACAACTCAATGGTTTCAAATGCGGTGGTGAGTTGATGGGAGTGGTCATGCTCCTCCTTGATTCAAATATTTTTCCAATCTTTAATCTTATGATCATATTTATCATGAACTATTCAGTGTGCACATTTATAAGCTTCAAATAAATTTCCAAGATCTTCTTTGAATCTCTTTTGGATTATACATATTTGAGACCGTTTGTTGATTATGCTCTCTTTTCACAATTTTCAGTCAACTCTAATTCCAGCCACCGTAAATGTTCACCGTCTCGCCACTTTAGGGGCCGACCGTCTCAAGGATGGTTCAGTATTCACACTCTNTGTGCACATTTATAAGCTTCAAATAAATTTCCAAGATCTTCTTTGAATCTCTTTTGGATTATACATATTTGAGACCGTTTGTTGATTATGCTCTCTTTTCACAATTTTCAGTCAACTCTAATTCCAGCCACCGTAAATGTTCACCGTCTCGCCACTTTAGGGGCCGACCGTCTCAAGGATGGTTCAGTATTCACACTCTAGCTCCAGTAATGGTTTGTGCTTTTCTTCTTCTTGGTCTTTCCAATCTATCTGTAGTGGTTGGATTGTTATCACTTAAAACTGTTTTGATTTCTTTAAGATTGAATTTTGGTAGTGGCCAAGTAGGGTATTTTTCAGTGAAGTTCGGAGCAATGGATTTAGTTTGTTGTCTTACTCTTTCGGGATACACCAGAAAGAGGAATGAGAAGTTCCACTTTATTCTTACACATATTCTGCAAATAATATCTTATTACTCCAGAAGAGTAAGACAACACACCAAAATAGAAGAATAACTGTTTTGATTTCTTAGAATATCTTTTAATCTACTAAATTAGCAGAAGCGGTAGTTGAAGGAGATGTAGAGGAAGGAGAAATAGGAACTTGGTATGAACTTTTGTTGATGTTTAGATAAGTTTGTAAAGATGCTAAACGATGTCTGATTTTAATATGTTTGTGTTTATAAATGCTGCTCTTAATTTGTTCTATTCTTCCCGTGTGATAGTTGTGTATCTGCCAGAGTAGTACTTTTGTTTGATTGGTTAAAGTTGATAAGCCTTATTTAGACCTCTCTTTAAGTTTGATATGTTTTCGTCAGATACGTTGTAGAGAATTGGAATATCAAGAAGCTTTCAGCAGTGATTGCTTAGGACTGATCATGTATCAGTTTCATCTTTATTAATTTGAACCTGTTATGAAAATATTCTGAAAATTGATTGGTGATCTGTCTATGTTTTTCTCACTACTTTCCACTGATTTAGGTTTGTACTCTTGATTGCTCTCCCTACTTATTTTTTCTCTTTTTCTTTTTGGCAGAATGTGACTTTGTGGAAGGAAGTTCATGTGATATGTAACTTCTTCCTGGTTAGGAAGATCGTGGCACACATTGTTACCTTCATCTTCTATTGTGTGAAAATGAAAATGAAATGAAATGAGATTTATTCCTAAGCAGTACGCTTCTATCTCCAGTTCGCCACTTTCAGTCACTATGATTATTCCTCCAAATTCTGTATCACTTAGCACGTCTATATATATATATGAACACTTTATGTTCATGAGTAATACGTACGTATTATGGGTGGTATTTTTAATACTGAACAGCAGCATATATCAATCTTTGAACTTACAACCTTTTTAAGACTCTTTTATAAGCCGTCATACAGTTAGATATTTTATATAGTGCCGTCATATATAGTTTTATTTAAACCGGAACAAAATAGATGTGACCGCTTAAGAGTTAGACACTTGAACTAAGAGCAGGTTTATTGACATATCTTAACAAGAGATCTTAGATTAATTAGGAATAAAAAAAAGAGAAAATAAGGGATTTGGCCAACACACGCCTCTTAGAGCATGTTTATTGGTAAAACCCTTAAGTGTTTCTTAAGTGGTCCCTAGTGAATTTTTAACTATTAAAATTAAGATAAGAGATTTTGTTAAGAGACACTTAGTAATAATGGTTTATTGGTAGTTTCTTAATAAATGTAAACTTACTTAAACAAGAAGGATGAGAGGCAAAACTTACTTCTGTGATTTACCATCCATTGTAAACCCACGAACAGCCTGAATGGAACGGATAGCTTCTTCTTCTTTTGCATAAGTAATATATCTGGATAGTAAAAATTATCATCAGAGGAAATATAGTGACAAACAAAAGTCAAAAGAGATTCATGATAAGAGAATTTTTGGTTGACAGAAACGTACACACTGCATGTATTGTTTGGAAATTGTTGGATGACACCAGTTGTTGTCCGGGACATGGAAACCTTTAGAAATTTCCATACTGACCAAAATATTCTTTATGATGGAGTAGGTGGAAAAAAATGGAGCAGTAGTCACATGGGAATCCACATCTTCATCTGCTAGATTAAAGGGCAACCCAACAATGTAAACATGATTCCATTGGATGACTCACACACTGGCCAGTTGCTTTCTCCCATTAGAAGGTTTTTGATTTTGACTTTTGAACCTTCATGCGCTCCATGTTGCCTTCAGAGGCCAGACTGAGAATAGGTAGTTGTACACAGAAGAACTCAGAAAATGACTTTCCCATGCTAAAATTACATCCGCCAAAAAAGATATGTGAATCCAGTATAATATTTACTACCTGTCGCAATTAATAGTCATTCCTACAACTTTCGCTTTGTCATAAGGACTGGACAACGCCCTTCTATTTGATCTTTCTCTGCCATGTCCACTATGTGATCCAGCACCAAACACATCTGGATCACATACACAAATTATTAACAAAACACAGATCAGCTAAATAATAAAACTTTCAGATCGATACAATAAGAATCATAAAAAAATGCATATTGGATGTGGAAACTCTCCGGAATTCGATTTGTGCATGTGTTCAATTATAGATGATTCAACGGACAAATCGTTAAGAGTCAACCACAGGCATAACATATGAGAAATAAAAAAAAATCTCAATCAAATTAACAAAAGAGATCCAACAAGAGCAACATACAAAATTGAGGGAAGATCGATAGAGATTCGCAGATGAAGATGAAGATTTCGAGATGAGGAAATGGATGGTTGGTGACTTTGGTGGATTTGACCGACGGAAGAAACGTGAAACCTCTCCTCCTTCTAATTGTTTGGCGACGCGTGGCAGGTAAGGGACGTGCCTTATTCTCTTAATTAAGAGGCGTGTGTTGGCCAAATCCCTTATTTTCTCTTTTTTTAATTCCTAATTAATCTAAGATCTCTTGTTAAGATATACCAATAAACCTGCTCTTAATAAAGAGAATAAGGCACGTCCCTTACCTGCCACGCGCCGGCCAAACAATTAGAAGAAGGAGAGGTTTCGCGTTTCTTCCGTCGGCCAAATCCACCAAAGTCACCAACCATCCATTTCCTCATCTCGAAATCTTCATCTTCATCTGCGAATCTCAATCGATCTTCCCTGGTGTCATCCAACAATTTCCAAACAATACATGCAGTGTGTACGTTTCTGTCAACCAAAAATTCTCTTATCATGAATCTCTTTTGACTTTTGCTTGTCACTATATTTCCTCTGATGATAATTTTTACTATCCAGATATATTACTTATGCAAAAGAAGAAAAAGATGTTTGTTGCATTCAGGCTGTTCTGTGGGTTTCCAATGGATGGTAAATCACAGAAGTAAGTTTTGCCTCTCATCCTTCTTGTTTGAAGTAAGTTTATATTTATTAAGAAACTACCAATAAACCATTATTACTAAATGTCTCTTAACAAAATCTCTTATCTTAATTATAATAGTTAAAAATTCACTAGGGACCACTTAAGAAACACTTAAGGGTTTTATCAATAAACATGCTCTAAGCAACCCTAAATATTTCACTAAACCAATTGAATTAGATTTAAACAAAAACTTTTTAATTAGATCCGGTTCAAAGACAGCAACTGGTGGAATTTAAACTATGAACTGTTTGTTAGGCCCACTCAAAAGCAGGATCCTCCAAAAATAAGCGTATTTAACGTGGAAAGCACACGGTGTTCTTAAGTAAAAAACTAAAGAATGGTTCCCTGTGCTCACCAGGATGTGTGACTTATTCGGTAAAAAGAGAGAGCACTCTCAGCCTCCCTCCCAGGTTACAGATGTCCTACCGAAAATAGCGCTCGTTATCTGAGCCTTTTCGTTGGCTTTAATGGGCCCAAAGTAAATTTGAGCTTTGAATAAAAAAAATGGAAGGTATGTAAATTTGTCTGGGCTTGGCGGGAAAATCGCGGAGTCTTCTCTTTCCCTCGAAGAAAAATATCAAAATCTCCAATTCCTTACTGCCCATAGGGTTTTCTATTCTTCTTTTCACTTCCAGTTTCAGTTGTGGAATCAAGCATGAGGAAGCGAGAAACAGAAGTAACCGGCGAAGGCAGTGGGAGGAGAGATGTTAGGTCCGTGAAGAAGGAGGAAAAGCAGAAGAATAAAGGCGTAGCTGACTCCGTTCAAATCGAAGAGCCACTACCGACTCAGGAAGAAGAACAGGGAATTTCTGATCGGAGGATTCTCAGATCTCAGTATCTCGCTCTAATCAACAAAATCAGTGGTACATTCAGTCTCTCTCTCTCTCTATGTTCATTGAGTTTTCGTTTTTAAAATTAGGGCTTTTTCTGAAGATTCTAAAGATGATTTGACAAGTGTTGATTCTGACAAATTCTCCAGAATTTTCAGTGAATTTGAGAACCTGCATCAGAGAGGTAACTCTTTTATGAGGAGTCATAGCTATCTTTCAATTTCTTTGTATTTAGCTATTAATAGGGTACCCTATTTTGTATCCGGGTTTGGTTGCAATTACTCTGCAGTTCAGAAGCCAAGAGAGCAAGTTGCAGATGCAGAGGCGTTTCTTGATATAGCAAACACCATTATGTCTTCTGTCAAGTCTCACTCTGCTAATGGGGTTTCTCCGGCTGAGTTTGTTAATGCTTTAGTCAATGGGTTTGGTCAGGCTTCTTTACGGATTGATGAGACTTCTCCTGTATCTATAAAATGGAAGGATCTTGGCCTTGCTGTCTGCTCTACAGTTTTTATATCATGTGGTTGTTCCACAATGTGAGTTCTTAACTTTGCTACGAACTGAGCGTGTTCTTTTTTTTAAAAAAAACAGAGGTTTGTTTTACCTGTTATGTGATCAGGTTGGGACCTTTGGACACTGAACTGAAGGAAAGGAAAAGGGCAGTCTACAGAAAACGTACAAAGCCTGGTGAAGGCGAACGTCCAGAGGAGGTAAAAACTGTTTTCTTTTTGCAGACACCATCTTCGGTTAAGTTTTTGACTAATAATGTAGTACATATGGGACTTTTCACTCCTCACCTAGCTCTTCTGAATGTTTTATATCTTAGCTTGATCAATGACGGTTAAGAGCCACTTGCACTGAAGGCAATATATCTTGTGAGCTTTAACTGGAGTCTCTCTGATGTTGATTGATTTGCAGTGGTTCCTTTGTGAAATGTCTGAAACTTGTTGATTGTTATGTAGTTTGGTTTTAGATAAGAGACAACAGAGCTTATTTGAGTACTTATTGAAATGACCAGGTAGATGATACACAGTCAGAAGAGAAAACTGATACAGACAAGAATATGGCGGTAATGTTCAACATTTTACGGCAAAAGAAGCGCGTGAGGCTTGAAAACTTTGTGCTCAACAGAAGATCATTTGCGCAGACTGTAGAGAATCTGTTCGCTCTATCTTTCTTGGCCAAAGACGGACGAGTAGAGATCATTGTTGATAAGAATGGTTCTCATTTTGCCTGTAAGATCACATCTCCATCCTCTTATTTGGATATTCAAATCATTTAGCTTACATCTGATCTCCTAGTTTGTCTTCAGTGCCGAGAAACGCACCCGCTGCAAACCTGGTGATGTCAGGGGAAGTCATCTATAACCATTTTGTGTTTAGACTAGATTTCATAGACTGGAAGGTAATAAAAGAGAATCTCACTTAGTTATAGCCTCAATGTGTCCTGAAGATATCTTTTTTTATTTTTTTTGTGGTAATGATGTATGTGTAAACAGCTGATGTCTCAACTGGTGCCGATGGGAGAAGAGCTAATGCCACACAGAGAAACTGCAACCGCTTCATCGTCTTGTCCCTCTGCATCAGCAGACTTCTCAAAAGATTCTCAGACAACGCCAATAAGAAAACTTTCGAGAAACCGAGGTTTTGTTGTTCAAGAAGACACTGTTGTTGAAGATTCTCCTGACATTGAGAGCGTTGGAACTCGAAAGAGATTTAAGCGGAGACTCGCTTGAGAACATGAGTCCCGCTGTATGGAGTATATAAGAGTAGATAGAGTTGAAAACTCCTTATGCTGTTTGATTTTGTGACATTAACTTTATGTGATCGTTTTGTTCATGGTAGGATTGTTTCTGAGGAAGGTAGAGATAATGTCTTCTAAGTGGCTGTCTTGTTAGCTCTCAAAAGCAGCCACTAAAGCCGGTTTGATTTTTACTTATTTGATCAACAGAAGACATTATTCTAGTTAATGTTACATATCAAAACCAAAAAAACACCAAGTCTGTAAATTAAAAGGCTTACGTAATACAAATCAAAACCAAACTCTAATTAAATTATCAAAAAAAAAAGTAGCTATTAAATCCTAACACCAAACAGCATGAACCCTCCTTTGCTCACCTCGGAATTGGTTTCTTCTTCTACCTTCGAGCTAAAGAAGTTTTCTGTTTTCATTTCTTCCTCAGAAACGTTATGAACCCTCTTGTTCACTTCCTTGGGATCCATAGAACCTTTATCTGTAAAGTAATCAACATCAATCATCAAGAAGTTGCTGCTTTGACCTTGTAATGTCTTGAAATTGCTCGGGACATCGCAAGTGTAGAAGACAATAACATCTTTCTCCTTTAGATTCTTCTCCTTGACGAAACCATTCCATCCTCTGGTGAAGACAAAGCTCTGGCTACTTTTCCAGTAACAATACCTAAACTTCCATTGTCTCATTGTCCTGTCATAAAACACAACCTCAACATCGTCCAGAGCTCCTCCTGTTCCGCCCTCTTCTCTCTCGTTCTGCTCGTCTTCTCTTATGAAAGGTAAATGCTTCACTGCATGCTTCTTAGGTATAACAAGCCGGTTAAGCTTCCCAACATCGCTCGGTGTCAGTTCCTTGTGGAAAAGCTCCGTGCAAGAGAAACACTTGGTTGATTCTTGTACACCTCCTCCTTCTCGGCTCTGTTTTGATCCCACGATGTTGATGTTCGCGATGGCTACCATCTGAGATCTTACTCTCAGATGATCCATGAACTTGTTTTGGTAAGTACGGTCTCTGATCATGTTCAACACAGCTTCTGTTGTGTGGTTATTTTGAAAGTCCGGTTCGTGGACCGTGATTTCAGACCAAGGGAAGTTCCGGTGCGAGTTAGCATCGAAACTTCGGAGCTTGATAGATGCGCTATCGTACGCAGCAGCGGCTTCAGCAGCGGATTTGAAAGTTCCAAGCCAAATCCTTTTGTGGTCTGCGTAAATCTGAGCACCCCAGTGACCGTTCTGCTGCTGAACCACACCTTTGTATTTGGTTGCCGCGGTGTTGGACAAGGCAAGTGTTGTGGTCGGGGAGACAGTTGTTTTCATGCGTTTGGCCAGACGCAAGTCAGTTGAGACAGAAGTCTCTGTCGTTGTCTTGGCTTCATTGCTTGTCTCGTTGAGGATATCCATCGGTAAAAGAAACAAAAACAAATCTAACAAACAGAAAACAAACAAAAGGAGACAGGACAAAAGAGTATATGAAGGAGAGATTTGAGAGGAGATTTATATCCGTGTATGTTGTATCCTTATTGATGATTCTTTAGAATGTTACAGTTTCCATGTTTTGTATTTGTTTCTAACTTTTCTGAGGTAAAAAATGGTAAACTTGACAGAGTTGTTTCCATGTTTGTTCTTATTTCTAACTTTTCTGAGGTAGAAAATGGTAAACTTGACAGAGTATTAAGCACCAGAAGCTGTTTAGGGTAACTTTCCCTTGTTAATGAGATTCTTTTTATGTCAGATATATTTTCTCGATAGAATAGTTAATTTTCCTTGAGGATTAAGACAAAGATGGAGAAATATATTCAAGTTCTTATAAAGAAATATTTACTTTTTGTCTTAATTTAGACATTAGTTGCGAAACTTATATCATCATGTCATGTCATGTGGTTTCTTGTTTTGTTTTCTGGTTCTCGTTACGTACATCTGAAAAAAAAAAACTACTGAGAGAAATTTAACAAGTATCCACATTTGACAGTTTTTTTCTTGAAATATTTATTTTAGGAGACATTTTTTAAGTTTTCAATATTTCAAAAAGACACATTGTGATATAGCACACTTTTAACTTTAGTAATTTACAAATATAACCCCTAACCAAGTGAAGAGTCAAACAAGAGAGAGAGTAATCTTTAGAATTTATCTTTGTTTTATAAAAAAAACTTTTTATCTACTCAATCCCTCAATTCTCTAAATCCTAAATCTCTTAAACAAATCCTAACTCTCCTAATCTCAATCAAGACGCCGACACACAGAGTCCTCCGACATGAGATTCAAATTATAACCCAAGAATTTAAACTCTAATCTAATTAATTAGAATATGCAACCAACCTTTTTTCCCGTCTCTTCTCCGCCGTTTGTTCTTCCCTCTGCAATTTTCTACCATTTTTTTTGCCTCTGCAATTCGACACCTCTCTTCAACCTCCGTAGAACTTCAACTATATGGAAGGTTAGTACCCAAATACAATTTGCTGGTACTCTACTCTCTACAACAATGGGAATCTTCCACATCCTCTGTTGTTTCGCCAACAAGCTCACACCGAAATCTACAGCCATGACAAGCTCCTCCTTCACTGTCGGAATCACCGTATCTCATCCCCCTTTGATTGCAGATCGAAAGCTTGGTTAAAGAACATCTATGGAAAACCGTTTTTTGGTCAAGGCATTCATACACGCACTGACCACAGAGCTTTGACCACAACACTCTCGACCACAACAACACTCACCCTAACCACGAGAGTCCCATCCACAACACACCCGACCACCACAACAATCGCACTAACCAAGAGAGCCCCATCCACAACACACATGAGAACCCCAATCAGACTACTAACCCTGGGCAATTGAGTTGTCTAACCTTCGCTAATCAAGAATCCTACTCACTGATTGCAACATGTGTTCGCTTCCACAACTTTGCTTCGGTTTCAATCTCTGACATGGAAAGTTAATTTTTTGAGTTCGCAAGAAACTACATAAGTCCAATTTGTCTTATCGGCATAAAACAAAAGTCGCAGTCTTTTTTTAAAAAAGAAAGATTTTGTAGAGAACGGAAAAAACATCGACTTTCCAAGAGATTTTTTTGAAACATATAGGAGACTGGTAGAAGATGAGTTTCGATTTGTATGGAGACTTCTTGTGGTCTTGTGGATTGGCATTTGGTGGATGGGAGAATGGTGGATAGGAGTTGCCTTGATTGGAGACTGATAGAAGATGAGTTTTGATGTGTAGAAGATAGATGGACATGAGTTTCGTGGATGGTGGTGGACATGAGTTTTGTGGATAATGGTAGACATGACATATGTGGACAACATCTATGTGGATCGCAAACAACAATATGAGCTTTGATGTGTAGAAGATGGATAGACATGAGTTTCGTGGACAAGAGATTTGATGGATAGGATAGTGGTGGACATGAGAGACGTGGACAACAGATCTGTGGATATCATGAGTGACATTTTGCCGTGACAATAAGAAATCAGTACATGAGGTTAGAGTAAATTCAAACTTTGTATATTGAAGGTCTTCATAAAAATTGAAGTGAAAAATAAACATGAGTTACAAAATAGAAATGTGATTGAAAGATCAAAAATCAACATAAAAGTAAGAAATGACAACAGTGAATACACATAGGTATTATGTCACCAGAGAAGGGATCAAGTTAAGTTGGCATCGGAGAATCTAATAAAAAGAGAGAAATGGAGATGAAAGAGGAAGAGTTTGGATGGTTAGATTATGATGATAGTTCTCGGTTTCAAATTCTGGGATTTGTATTGTACGAGGAAAGTAATTATGAGTCTATATTTTAATATATGTTTTATTCTTTAAAACTTTATCATTAATTGTAACCAGTAATAAACCTAGTTGCCCTATGGTTGCATTATTAAAAGAAACATTGTTCTACTCACATAAGTGGAAGGTTATTTTCGTCCATAATAATACACCTGTCAAGATAAAGTGCCTTATCTACACAATGTGTCTCCAGAAGCAAACAAAAGACGTAATGTGTTCTTTTATGTAAGCCAAGACATCCTGTGGAGTTGGTTCATTCGGATTATTTAAGGCTAAGTGCCGAGAAATTTTTAGGTGGTTTACGATTATAATAAAACGATAGTTTATTAAGTCAGTGGCATAAGAAGATAAATATTGAGGAAAACTCAGGGTTAAGTACAAAATGTACTTCCCTTTTAATAGATTAGATGTACTGTCTATATCGTAGATATAGTGAATATACCGTAGTAAGTGTTTGTTTAAGCGTTGTCTTTAAGGTCATAAAGAGGGTTGATGAAAGAAGGGTGGATCGTTACTATGAAATTGGGAAAAACTAAGCAAAAATTCTGTTAAACCCAATAGTGAAATAATATTTTACTCTGATCTTTGTCAATCCCCTAGAGATATTTGAAAAATTGTAACCTTAAGTTTGTATTAATTAAAAAACAACTTCATCCTACGTAGCACATCTCTATGTTTTCTATTTCAATTTAAAAAGATTCTAGAGTATGTAATATAATGTATAATCTAAAAATTATACTCTCTAGCAATATAATATTTCGCAAACTATAGTTAGTCGCATATATCAAATATTTATTGTTCCGCAGATTTACCTTAAATAAAACCTACGGAATTACCTAATGTGATTAAAATATATATATATGGCAATTAATGATTTTAATATAAATTAGTAAAATTATTAAACATATTACATTAAAAAAAACCATTGGTGTAAAATTTTGTTCTACAAATATGCAAATAATCATAAAATCATGTGAGTAGAAATCTCATTTAATAAATATACATATTAAAAGTATGCTATATAGCTACGTTAATATCATTTAAATTTAATTATATACCATATATGATAGATAAGATTGATATTTTTGATTTATTTACCATAATTGTGAATAAACAAGAGTGATCGTTAGATTTATATGCACATACCAATTTATTACATAATAATAACTTATTTCTTAGTTATTTAATATATATATATATATATATACTTATTATTTTATTATTTTATTATTTTATTTCAAAACATAAAATAATAATAAATATAAAATACTTATTCTGCAAAAAGTGCATATCTTAACCTAAGTATGTATCTCTTTAATTATTATAAATCTTAAGCATTATCTAAATCATAGGCTAAAACAAACAAACGAAATGAGAATAAACTCCAAAATCAATATTTATATCGAGCAATAACCAAAATGAAAAGGACACATAAAAAAAAGATTGAAGATAGATTGGATTGGCACGTGAACGTAAACTTCTCATACCATAATTAATTTTTAAATTTCTAAATCATGATATAAAACCGAACTGACATAGTTTCATTGTAACTAAATAGACCCGAGATTTTTTGACCTAAACGTTAGGTTCTTTGCGGTAAGTGATATTTTGATATAAAACATTTTTTTTAAAATGAGATCAGCTCATCAGTAAACAAATTATGTAACTAACAAAAATTTAAAAAAGATTAAAAACGAAAGTATTAATTCAATCAAGAATATAGATTTATTTTTCCATATAATATCTTTTCAATAATTTATATATATATATATATATATTTATCATGCGCAAGGCGCATGTTTTATCCTAGTTTTTTTTAATATTTTGTATAGTATAAGGATGTTGTGAACTTGTAGTATATGTTGGTTCACCAATTAAACTTAATTGTTAATAAACTCGTAGTATAAATGGTACTAGACTTTGATCTGCACGTCCGCGCGGATGTTTTTTCATTTTTAATATATAACATTGATAAATGATGTAACACTTTTAATGTTTGAACATGTGTTCATTATTCATATTGTGTTTGTTATTCATTATTGTTTGGATGTTAAGCCAATTAAAGTGATATACTTTCTTTGATAAAAGTGTTATTGAGATCATGTAGTATTTTATTAATAATTTTCTTACTTTTAACTATTAATGTAATTTTTTTATGACTCTTGCTTTCACAAGGCATGATTGTTTTAATAAATTATTCTTATTAAGTTTGTTTCTATTTAGAATGATTTGTTTAAAGATATGAAAGTTTGAGATATGGTATCAGTTTTATATTAATGTGTTATATAGTTGTGATATTTCACTTTTACCTTCAATTTGGTATTCATGTTTACCTTTTCAAAATTGACATTTTTAAAAATATCTAAGTATGAAGTTTCATTAAAAAGGCAAAGGACATTTATATCTTTGTCTTATAAATATAAATAATTATTTAAATAATTGATTAAAACTAAAAAATATAAAAACTATTTTTTATAGTTTTCGAATTATATCTTTTCAAATTCAAACTTTTTATATTTTTTGAATTTTGAATTTTGAATTTTTAAATTTTCTTTTTTTAAATTAAAAACAAATTTGAACCTATTTTAAAATACTTATTTATATATTTATTCAAATTTTAAATCTCATCCTCCAAAACTTCACCCTCAAATCTAAATCCTAAGTATAGATTATTTATCCTATGGTTAAAATGTCTATTTACTTATTTGAAACCAAGTGTAAATGTGGTTAAAGGAAACATGAAAATAAGTATTAGGAAAGTAGTAATTTAAGAAATTTA